GAGAAAGCTCGGGCGATATCGTTTAGCTCTGTCGCGAGCTGTGTAGACATTTCTGGAGAAAGGAAAGCCGTTACCGGCGTTTTTAGTTAAATTTCTGAATAACTCGGGACGGTGATTTCAAAGTAACTTGCGTTACTCCGAAAAGTTGCCTATTTAGCGGTCTTGGGTAGTAACGCGTTAGGCGAACATCGTTACTTTGGTAACGTTTAACTGTAACCTGTTACTTTTTTTTACGAAAAGTAAGTCATAATATTCCTTTTTTTAAAAAAAAGTTCATCGAGCAACACTGGCGGTCGCCATTGCTGGGACACGAAGCGCGTAATTGAAACTACATAAACACACGACGATTGCGTCAACGTTGATATTTGCCGAACGCTGACGCAGCACTCGTTGCCAATATGTATCTGGAGCGTTCGCCTTCTCTGGTGACGCCATCTGATTCAGTACCACGGCTTTGATTTCGAGGAGTTGTTGCTAGGGATGCCGCGAACTTTTTTCGAATCGAAGTTTCGATGATCGATTCAAGCGGTTCGAAAGGTTCGAAAGATTTCGATTTTTCGAATTGTCTATATCGTAAAATTCCACGGAGGTCGAATTTTCGACCTTGTTAAGCTAAGAAGTTCGACACTTTTCGAATCGTCGAACTTATTACGCTAAAAAATTCGATTTTTTTCGAACTTTCGAACTTATTGCGCTGCAAGGTTCGATGCTTGTCGAACTTTCGAACTTGACTGACCAAGAAATTCGATGAATTTTGAACTTTCGAACTTATTTATCAAGAGAATTCGAAAAGTTTCGAACTTTCGAATTCTGAAAAGTCAGAAGTTCGACGAACTTCGAACTTTTAGGGTAAAAGTTCGACGTTCGTCGAACTTCGAAAGACCGGCGGACGGTTTCATTTGATTTCAAGTAGTGGGGTACATTCGTAATTTTTTTTTCTCGAACTTTTACACGCGGTGCTGCGTTCCTTACGAAAGACAATGTCGTTTATTTCAATGTTCTGGCATGCTTAATTTTAAAGAAATAAATCCCCGAAGGGGCGAGGAAGGACGACGGGTTTTTGACGATTATCGTTTGTGCCAGATTTGAAGCACGCTGCAGCCGGAGCTATTTATGGTAGATATGTTATACTTTTTTAAGAATGATCTATGTATAGCCTAGGTAAGTGCCGTCTTAAGGTGTGATTATTGTTATTCAACGTGAGTTTCGAAGAAATGTCCAAACATGTATCTGCATGCAATTATGACCTAAACTTGATATTTATTTTCGTCTAAGTTGTTTGAGGTATCGCATTTAAATTAACACTACAGACAGTACATATAATTGCCATCTGCAGAATACAAAATAATATATTTATTGTTTTTTCACGTTAAGGAATAAATTA